GAGAGCCCCCACCACCACCACCACCACTATCATGACGCATCCCTGGCGCCTGCTGCTGCTGCTGCTCCTTCTCCAGATCCCCGGGCTTTGCTGCCTCGGAGGCGGGGACCCGAGCAGCGCCATGGAGGAGATCGCCACGGAGAAAGAAGCGGAGGAGAGTCACCGGCAGGACAGCGTGAGCCTCCTCACCTTCATCCTCCTCCTGACCCTCACCATCCTCACCATTTGGCTTTTCAAGCATCGCCGGGTCCGCTTCCTCCACGAGACCGGCCTGGCGATGATTTACGGTGAGTCTCTTCCCTTGGACGCAGAAGGCAGGCAGGCGGGCGTGGAGCTGGGACTGGGGCGGGAAGAGCCGGCCGCCGGCGCGAAGTCCTCCTACCGCGGCGATCGAGGGCTGGTGGACGGGAAGACGGCGGCGTTTGCAACCGGGAGCGCCGAGTGCTCGGGTGTCCTTTCCACACGGCGCACCCCGGTGTTCTCTCTTGTATACAGTACACGCGCGCGCAGCTTCGTGTGGGTAGGATTATGCGTGTTTATACCTCTTCCTGCGTCTTAGGGAACCTTCCTTTTTCTTTTCTCCATCCTTTTCCTGCCTTTCTCTAGAAGCCGTGTATGTCCGACAGTATGTTATTTTGTGTGACGATGCACACCACCACACCCCCGGTTTTGCACCATTTTTCATTCATTTGTGACTTTCAAAGCCCTTCGCTAATTTCATCCACCCTTTGAGAAAGATGAAATTGCCCTGTGGTGTATCGTGGACCTGAAGCTGCCCTTAGGACAGAATAGAGAGAGACATAATAGTTTCTTATCTGCAAAGGTGTCTGGCAAGTGTGCATTTTATCCCCTTGGCTATTCAATCTGTATGCAGAACATACCGTAGGGAAAAGCCAGACTAGGTTCACATGAAGGAGGAATGAAAATTGGTGGGAGAAACGCCCATCTTACTGGCAGAAAGCAGCAATGACTTGAAAGGACTGTTAGGGAATGTGCAAGGAAAAAAAAATTGGCAAAGTAGGACTGAGAAGACAAACATCATGACCACAAAAGGACTACACAACTTTAATGTTGGCAGTAAAGAAACTGAAATAGTCAGGTAATTTGTATACTTTGGTTCAATGATCAAATAGGGAAAGCAGCCAAGAAATCAGAAGACTGAGATCCAGAAGGGTAACAGTGAAGGAACTAGAAAATATCATTAAGTGTAAGAATGTGTCACTGGAGGCCAGTGCCAAGATCATCCACACTCTTGTATTCCCAGTCATCATGTATGGGTATGAAAACTGGACTGTAAAGAAAGCTGACAGGGAAAAATGATTTGTTTGAAATATGGTGCTAGAGGAGAGCTTTGGAGATACCCTGAACTGCCAGAAAGATGAACAAGTGGATCCTAGATCAAATCAAGCCTAAACTATCTCTAGAGGGAAAAATGTTGAAACTGAGAAGTAAGATTCTGTGGAAAAAAAAAAACACAGTAATGACCTAAACTATCTCTAGAGGCAAAAATGTTGGAACTGAGAAGTAAGATTCTGTGGGGGAAAAAAACAGTAATGCTGGGAAGGGTTGAAAGCAGCAAGAAAAGAGGAAGACCAAAGTTGAGATGGTTCGACTCCCTAAAGGAAGCCACAGTCTTGAGATTGCAAGAGCTGAGCAGGGCCGATGAGGAAAGGACATTTTGGAGATTATTCATTCATAGGTCACCATAAGTTGTAGGCAGTTTGTCAGGATATAACAACAACAAGAGCAGCAGCAACATGGAAGCAATGTCTTACTCCTTATAAGAGAGTGATAAAAAAAATCTTGCCTTCTATGTAGGCAAATGATTTTTATGTTATATCTTAATGAGTAACTTGATTTTTTTTTCTTAATGGGAAGGGAAGACAGTCATTTGCTCAGCCTAGTAGCCCCCCATCTCCCAGTGACTCTTTGTTTTTTGTTTTGTCTCTTACCTCTGGTGGTTTCATATATAAGGTTGCTGTATGGACCTTGGTGTCACTGTCTGAAGATCCAGTGTCTGTCTGCAGGTTGAATATGTTTGAATGTGTATATGTGTGCACATCTGTCCTCTTCTCAATCATGTTCCCTTTCAAAAAGGAGCATCCTTAGAAATGCATGAGGACAGGCGTTTAGTCTTTCCCAATTTGGTATGCCTGATAGACAAAATTCTTTTTTTAAAAATCCAAAGATCAGACTGCTATAAGCATCCTTGGCTGTCCTTTTTTTAATATATGCCAAAGGATCTTAAAAGGTTTTTTTAAATATGTGTATTATATAAGTTGCATCTGGTGACACTGGCTTGGAGGTTTGTCTCAGGTCATGGTGGGGGGGGAGGTAATTGTGAGGTTTTTTTTTACATAATTGAAAATTACAGATATGAATGGCCATTTCCTGTCATTCTTATTTGTTGTAGCTGTATGCAATTATCTTAATGGTCATATATTGTAATGACATTTTAAAGTGTACCGTAATGTATCCTTCAAGCCTTCTCATTAGAATATTGCTGTCTAACTGAACTCATAATCTGCAGGGTGGTCAAGAAATGATATCCCCCTAACATAAATTTCAGTAAACATTTATGTTGTAACCTGATAAGATCCTGTTGTGTATTTGGCTCAGCTACCATGTATGCCTCCCTGCTTTTTATTACTGGAGCATCTTGTGTCAGGGGCTCTTGTCCGGGATGAAAAGAAAGCCATGTTTTTAAACATTCATGCTCTTACTATGGTATCTGGCTGCCAGCTCACTGTGTGCAGTCGGTTTTTGCTGGCTTCTACTTGTAGTGGAACAAGACACTGGGAAAGGTTACACCATGTACCTTAAGTCTGTTGTGGGTGATCAGGCATAAACCGGGCAGAGCTTGCCCTTCAGAGGGCTTTCGTGGTGAACGGATGCTGCTGCGTTTGCTCCTGCTATCTGACGTGGCATTGAACTGGGAATGGTGATCCGCTCAGTGCCCGCCACATTTGATTAATGCCTGCTGCAGGAGACTCTGTGTGACAGCATATAACCTTGTGCTGGTTTCCTTTTTATCCTCAGGTGTTAAATGGTGTGCAGATTTGGAATGCAAACAAAGCCCTTTGTGAAGCCCAGAGTTTGATTTACATTTTGGCAGCCGGTATCTGTTTCCTTCTTGCTGGTAAAAAAAATTAAGACCTTCTTACCAGCCACAGATCTGCAGAACCTTTCCTGGTACAGATGCATGTTGTGGCAAGGAAGCACAGATGAATTTATGCAAAGCCATAAAAGCAGCTGCTTCCTCCTCCTCTGCTGCTCAAGCACCTTTTAAAAGTTAAGTGCCTGGAAAGCCCTGGATTTTTCCTCTGCTGAGGTTTCCCAGTCTCCAGCCATCTCCTTCGTCATTTGCTTCCTGCTGTAATGCTGTGCGGTTGTTGTCTTCCTTTTCTCAAACACCCTGAAACTTAGCAAAGGCAAGGCTTACTCACAACTGAGCCCACTGCATTCGGTGACACTTAATCCCAGGCACGTCTGTATAGGATCATAACCTCAGCGTTACGTACAAAATTGTATTTGCATGGTTTTAGAAACAAAGCAAAGTATCTCTTTGAAGTGTCCATTTTAATAAGTCACAAATGACTTCGATAAGAAACATTCACCAGGCTTACCAGTTTGATAGAAAGTGGAAGTGCATTGAGAACTGCCTCTTGTGCTAGTTTTTAAAAACACCTCTGCTTTAGAACCAGATGCCCTGTTCTGACTGCCCTTCATAACATTTATAGTGGCAGGCATTTGAAGGACACCAGGTTTGGCAAAACTCTCCTACAGTGTCCATTAGCAACACATAAAAGCCTTGAAAAAAATATACCTTATCATATATGTCTGTTTGGAAATAAGCCCTTTTGAATTCAACAGGGATGACACCCGAATAAGTGGATATTGGTTAATTCTAATGTGTTAAAATACCAGATAATACAAAGTAAGTCCATAGAAAAGCAGTTTCATTTACATTATCATTAAATGTTGGAAACTTTTTGTTTTTGCATGTCTATTAGTAGTGATAAAAAATTGATCTAGGATGCTATACCAGGTAAACCTGTATGTGTTTCCTAAACACTGAGAGAATCAGAAGAGTTTGAAAATATTTGTTTAAAGGGAAGGCCTCTGACGCTATGGCTGAAATGCTGTTGCTTAGCATAGTAGGTCACAACTAGAGTCGGCCCTTTGAATTAGTGGGCATTTTAGTGAGTCTGCTCTAATTGCAACTTACTATGCTAAGCAACAGGATTTCAGCCAATGTGTCACAATATCAGTTCTCTAGAGCCAGATGCCCTGCACAGCTGGACATTATGTCTGCTTTTTTTCTTCAAATGGGGCAATTAATTTGCTCCGGCAATGCTGTTATTATATATAGTCTTCTTATAGTATATATAATTTTTGTGGCATATATAGTAGTATATATAGAGCCTCCATATATACTCCATATTAACCTCGTGGTTAAACTGCTGTACTGCAGCCAAAACTGTGTTCACGACCCAGGGTTCAATCCCAGGTAACCGACTCAAGGTTGACTCAGCATTCTCTCCTTCCAAGGTCGGTAAAATGAGGACCCAGCTCGCTGGAGGGGGGGGGGAATGTGTAACCTGCATAATTAACTTGTAAACCGCCCAGAGTGTGCTTGAAGCGCTATGGGGTGATATAGAAGCAGTACACTTTGCTTTTTCCTTTTGTATATATGTAGTATGTAGCACTTAGGTTATGTCAGAAAAAACATGGTACCTTTCCTCGACGTTTTTCCAACCTAAATTTGGAAAAAGAAAAAAGAAAACAAGCATAAAAATGGAAGGAAATACTTTTACTTTGCAGTGATTAAACTGTAGTATTTTGATACTAATGTTTTTATATGATTATATTTTGTGATGTTTTATAACTGTTTGTAAGCCGCCCTGAGTAGACTCTGTCTAGAGGGGCGAGGTAGAAATCAAATAATTAATAAATAAAAATTAATAATAGTACTGCAGTGAAGACTCTGCTCACAACTCGAGTTCAATCCTGGGCTCGGGTAGAACTGGCTTGAGGTTGACCCAGACTTCCATCCTTCCAAGGTTGGTAAATTGAGAACCCAGCTCACAGGGGGAGAGGGAAGCAATATGTAACCTGCATAATTAAATTGTAAACCAACCAGAGGGTGTCTGGAAGTTGAGTAATGGAAACTAGATCTGCCCTTTATCCTTCATCTTCTTTGCAAAATTGCATTTTGAAAAACTGGAGGATGATCTGACATTCTTCAGTTTGTGCTGTCCTCTGAAGATGCCGGCCACAGAGACTG